GACCCCCCCCCAAATGCTTGGATTTACTCTCTCTCACCTAAGTTTCCTTCTCTTCCTAACCTGAAAGCCCCGCGGATTTGGTTTCGAGAGCCCTCGGGATGCCGCCGCGCACCCGACAACAGCCCCTGAGGACAGAAAAAACCCTGGGGATTTCCTCCCTCAAGCTCATCCAGGCCCGTTCTCCCTTGCCCTTCCTCCCGCATCCTTGTCCCTGGCCCTCTGTGCCCACCCTCGTCTGCTCCCCGGCCCGTCCTCTCCATCCTGCAGCCTTTTTTGGTCGAGGATTTCGTGGGGCCTCGACAGGGGTCGCATGGCGCCGGCGAAGCAGCGGGCTGTGGCGAACACGCAGGTGCTGCTTCAGCAATGCCTCCAGCAGCGAGCGAGCTTGCCGGCTAAGGGCAAGGCTGCGGGCAAGGCTGCAGCTGCCCCGCAGCAGGGCCCGCAGGCGCAGGCGAAGGGCAAGGCGAAGGGCTCGCCAGCTCCACCGCAGGCGCAGGCGACGGGCAAGGCGAAGGGCGCTGCAGCTCCACCGCAGGCGCAGGCGAAGGGCCAGGCGAAGGGCGCAGCAGCTCCACCGCAGGCGAAGGGCAAGGCGAAGGGCGCAGCTCCACCGCAGGCGCATGCGAAGAGCATGGCGAAGGGCGCAGCCAAGGGCGCATCAGCTCCACAGCAGGTGCAGGCGAAGGGCAAGGCGAAGGGCACCTCCGCCTCGCTGGCGAAGGGCGCAGCAGCCCCACCGCAGGCGCAGGCGAAGGGCAACGGCGCAGCCGTCCCACCGCAGGCGCAAAAGGGCAAGGGCAAATGTGCAGCAGTCCCGCAGCAGCAGCAGCAGCAGCAGGCAGCAGTCGCACCGCCCGACAGCCGTGAAGTCGCCAGCTGAGGGTGAACGGATACGTTGGGAGGTTGAGGCGGCGATGCAGCCTCCGCGCAAGCGGAGCGCTCCTGCGTGCCCGGGTTCGAGGCCGAGTGCGCCCAGGGTATCAGGCCCGAGCCCTGGAACGGCGAGCTCTACAGGCACGACGCCGCGAACGCCGCCGCCGAGGCCGCGGTCATCGCCATCGCCGACGCCCTCTGCGAACGGCAGCGACCTCGGTGGACCGACGAGGAAGGCTGCCAAGGTCGAGCATGCGATGCTGCGAGCTGTCAAGACCCACCTGCTCGAGGAGGTTGCCAGCGCGCCATGCGGCGCTGAGCACTCCGCCCCCGGGGATGGCGAGCAGCCGTTCGAGGATGGCGAGCAGCACTTCGAAGAGGAGGGGCAGCGCTTCGAGGGCGATCAGCACTTCGAGGAGGGCGAGCAGCACTTCGAGGGCGCGCAGCACTTCGAGGAGGGCGATCAGCACTTCGCGGAGGGGGGGCAGCACTTCGAGGAGGGCGATTCGAGGGCAGCTTCGACGATCAGCACTTCGGCGAGCGGCACTTCGACGAGAACTTCGACGAGAAGGAGAGCTTCGCGGAGGGGGAGGGCGCGGCGGCCGCGCCCGCGGCCAGCGGCCGCCAGCCTGGGCAGTGGGACGAGTCGGGGCCAAACGAGGTGGTCGCCCAGGACCTCGTTTTCCTTTTCCTGCTCCTCCTTCTCCTCGTCTTCTTCCCCCTCGTCCACCTCCCCACTTCCTGGTCCTCCTCCTCCTCCTCCTCCTCCTCCTCCTCTTGCTCCTCCTCCTCCTCCTCCTCCTCCTCCTCCTCCTCCTCCTCCTCCTCCTCCTCCTCCCCCTTCCGAATCCTCTTCGATCGTCCTGCCTCTTTCCTTCTCCTGATGCTGCCCCTCCTCCCTCTGTCGCGCTCCAGGAGGGGTCGCCCCTGGACTCCGCCATTCCCGAAGACGTGTTTTCAGATTGTCCAGGGACGCTGATCAACAAAGCCACGGGCGACTACTTCGAACTGCCCACGCTGGATGAGGTCTTCGGGCCCCCCCCATTCATTTAAGGTTTTTGTTTGCGTTTTCCATTTCCAGCTCTCGCTGGCGATCTGCTCGTCGATCAGCTGAATTCGAACAATCGCATCCCAGCTGAATGACGCGCAGCTCAGAGAGGTCAAGATGGCCGCAAAGCAGGGGGACGAGCAGGCTAAGATGCAGCTCGTCGCGCTCGGGTGCTGCAGCACGGCCACGCACAACAAGGATATGACACCCTCCTCCTCCCCCTCCTCCTTCTCCTTCTCACCCTTTCCCATCCAGATCTGATTCCCCCGCTCCAAGCAGGAATGGAACGAGTTCCAGCGCCTGATGAACAACAAGAAGCGCGCGCACGCTTCGCTCGTGCCGTACTATAAGGAGAATGCCCTGGACACCTTCAACGACTGGCTGAAGTGCACCGGGCCAAACGCATTCCACGTTTCAAAACAACGGGGCCCGATTTGGGACATGCCGGAACCCTCCTGGGACGTCTTTGGTGAGTGGTCTCCTGGGATATATATATATATATACATATGTAGTTACGTATATGTTTGTACTGTTTATGCATACTGTAGTATATGTATGTACATAGTATATATATATATACACATATCCCAGGGGGCCACTCACCATTGCACCTGCGTCTCGAGGTCTGGAAAGGACCAAGCGCAGTGCATCCTGAGGATGACGCGTCGCCTGACAAAAACAAGGACGTTGCTAGCCGCCCTCCTCTTCCTCCTGCCCTTCCTCTACTCCTCGTCTTCTCCCTTGCTCTCCTCTCTCCATCTCAACTCCTCTTCTCCTTCGCCTCCTTCTCTCTTCTTCTTCTCCACTCTCCTTATCTCAACTCTCTTCTCTTCTCCTCCTCCTCCTGGTGGAATGGAGGGTGAGGGGTTCCGCCTACCCCGACACCTCGACCTGCTCCTCCACCTTCTCCTCTGGTCGCGACCTCGAGTACAAACGGCGCGACCTCGAGAAGATGTACCCCGACCCCGTGAAGCTCCAGCAAGTGATTGACGACTGCGTGAGTCGCGGTCACTGGCGCCCCGACAAGTACTTCCCGACCGACGAATTGGAGCGCCGGTACCCTGTCTTAAGATACACCTCGAACATAGCGACCCCTTGTCCCCCCCCCCTTTTGATGATGAGGTCTACGGCGGTGGAGATCTCCACCGAGGTCGACCTCTTCTCATCGCCGGTGGAGGGGATGACGAGGGCATCGCTATCCTCGAGGTGCATCTCAAAACAAGGTGCATGGTCGACAACGGACGCAGCGTGAGGAACGCGGCCCAGTTCAGCGAGGATCCGCACATCCTCATCCCGACCTCCTCCCCCTCCTCACTCCCCTCCTCCTCCTCCTCCTCCTTTTCCTCCTCCTCCTCCTCCTCCTTTCTCCTCCTGTCTCCTTCCTCCTTTTCCTCTCCCCCTCCCTATCCCCTCCTCCTCCTCCTCCTCAATCCTCCTGCTCCTCTTCCTCCTTTCCCTTCCCTCCCTCCTCCCCTCCCTCCCTCTCCCCTCCTCCTCGTCCTCCTCCTCCTCCTCCCCCTCCTCCCCCTCCTCCTCCTCCTCCTCGTCCTCTCCTCCTCCTTCTCCTCCTCCTCCTCCTTCTCCTCCTGCTCCTCCTCCTCCCCCGCGTTTTTTTTTGTTTGTTTTTCTCCCGCAGGAGCACCTCCTCCTACCCCTCGTCCTCCCTTTTTTTCTCCCGCAGGAGCAGTCGCTGGAGGGCTCGACTGAGATTTCTGGGGACCAGGCGCAGAGCTTAGTAGATGCAGGCGAGATGTTCGGATGCGACCAGCTGCCGGATTTGGCTGGCTATGGGGACAGCAGCGTCGCGTCGATGTTTGCTGTGACGGAGGGCTTGTCGGGGCCAGGAGCCGTGGCTGCGAAAGCCAAGGCCAAGGCCAAGGCGAAGCCCAAGGCGTTGCCCGACGCTGCTGTTGCCGACGGCGACGGTTCAGTGGAGATCGAGCCCATGGGCGCGCTAGAGACGGCCCGCGAGTTGATGGATCTGTTGAAGAAGCAGAGTGCGCAGTGCTTCCAATGCTCGCTCACTTTCGACGGGCTCGAAATGGCGAAGGACCTTGTCAGCTTCTTGGTGCAGCGCTCGAAGGGCGCGCCCAGGGCGCACAGCCAGATCCAGAAGCTGGTCGCGAAGAAGAG